TCAGCAACTTCTATTGATTAAAAACTAACCTTTAAAGTAACTCTCGGAGTGTGTGGTTAGCATTTAAATTTAAACATGTCATGAATTGATTTGTGTTACTGAATACCAACTCTGAAGGAGTTACATTCACATCAGGGTTTTTCTCCTCCTCCTCCTCCTCTTCTTCTTCCTCCTCCTCCTCCTCTTCCCCCAATTCCCTGAAGCAGCTAAGTATTTCATGAAGTGTCAGTGGGGCAAAAGAGAGGGAGAAAGGTGTTTATGGGGAATCGGTTGGATTGACATGAGCCTTTAAGTTTTCTTTCCCATGCAAATAGTCAACTCCTCCCCCCAAACCCTCCCCCACAGCCAAAGAAAAGTGTGGGGAGTGCAACACAATAATTAGCCCTTTGTCTAACTTTCCCAAGTGCCAGAGAGAGGCCGATTAATTAAATATACAACAGCATTGGGTTTTGGAGTGGGGGTCTTGCTTTCTGGGTAGGTCATAAATTAGGCTGAATAAATACTTCAATGTGTTTGCAGTGGGCCTGCTACGTCAGAGCCCCTGGAAGGTTGGTGGGAGGAGAGCCGTGTGTTTCTTGCTAATGATAGTCACGTCTGGGTCTGTCTGGTTGCTCCTAGCAACCAGACATGATGTAACACCAGGATGAACTTGAACTTGGGGACTTGAAAAGGGAACAATAGACCAGAGCAATCAATAAAGCCTATTTCAGTGAAGGATTACAGAGCTGCTCTGGAGTAACCTTGTCTGCAAGGCACACACTGAATAGTAAGATGGGCAAAGAAAGTTTTACCTTCTTTTTTTTTTTTTTTTAAGGAGGGCAGAAGCACTGCAGAACTCTTTAAAAAAAAACAGAAGTTATGCAGTGAGTAGCAGAGGAGAAAAAATGTGGCATGGAAAAGGCACCTCCTGCTGTCCAAAATGCGGATTGTGTGTCACTAAGAAAAAAGTGGAGGGGGGCTGTGTATACAGGCTGCCTTCCGCAATAGTGTAAATTAAGTTTAAGTCTTTTACCGCATGTTCCTAAGTGATCCCAGGCATATTGATGTCCAGATTCAGAATCAAATCACTGTAGTACTTTTCAGCAACTAAGTACTCAGACCAAATTTAAGTAGCCCTATCAATTATTTAAAGCTTCTAAAGTAAACATTATATTAGATCCATAATCAAGCCGGATGGCAGGGTTTAGCCTCTTGATAGGAAAGTTTGGAGTATAGTTTGCCTAACAGTTAGAAAGTTGTCCAACTTTTTGCATCTTGATTCTAAAATGGGGCATTGATAAAAATGCCTGTTCAGCTGCATAAGGGAATTCTTGCAGGTGGCACAGACACATACCATGGAAACATTTAAGTATTGAAACGAACCTTCGGTTCGTTTAGGAAAGACCCTTATTTGAAGTTGAAGGTAATTTAAATTAAAAATATATTTAGTACCAAAGTATTTAAATGTAATACTTTCCTGATGACAACAGCATAAACCATAATTCACACAAAGCATATTTATGAAACTAGACATTTATTTACTCTGTTTAACTGAGTGAATTAATTTTCTCAAAATATGTTAACACTAATCTGGCAGGTAACATCTGCATCAAAATAACAAATACGGATTCCTTAATCACCCAAGGAAACTTTTGTGCAAAAAGTTCCAAAACAAATAGATTTCTATTCTATTCTCAGCCAATTTCAATCTAACTTATGAGGAATTCTGCGAAACAATAGCAGATGTAAATATATTAACTTTGAAATGTCCAGAAAACTAGGTAGTAAAGTGAAAAAGTATACACATTGACACAGTTTCTCTTACAGTTGAATATTTTAAATAAAATAATACTTGTTTAACATATCTTCATGACTTTCTGCCAACACTTAAACTGTGTAATATTTAAACCAGCCATCTTTTCCCATTTTTGTCGTGTAATATATTTAAATCTAAGTACTTGGTTATTAGGTGGACTCAGTAACAATTGAAAATCAGCTTTCATCTCTAGAGAGTATTGTCTCCTTCATAGGAAGCATGAGTTTTACCTGATTAATAATACATCAGTATAAATTATTGTTGATCTTAAAAGTGGTACAAGTACAGTATATTTTGTCTTTGTGATGTATCATTGTTCAGAAATTCAAGAAATGTAAAATGGTCATTATGTGAAAAAAAAGCCAAGTTAAAGAACAGACAGATCTATGTACAGTTGATGATCTTAGACTATAATTTAGTTCAGTCTTACTCACTGGAGTAGAATCTTATAAAATCCTATGTCAGCTATTTGGGACTTAATGTGGTGAAAAAGACAATTGAAAACTGTAATCATCCAGACCTCTGTTCCAGCAATAAGACTTCCCCCCTTTCTCCTCCATTTACAACTCCAAATCTGCTTTAAGAAATAAGGAATCCATTTCAGTGTTGGATGGCAGTCTAGTATGATAGATCCAGTTGGATGCCATCAGTTACAAATGCTTTCAATGAAATGTATGGGAAACGGAGAGATGCTATCATTGTGTGAACTTGCAACATTAGACTGGCTAACAACTTGACACCAGTGCCAACTTATAAATGTGCATGTTAATAGTCACATGTGCATGTTAATAGTTTACATGTTACATTGCTTTTCTCCACAAGTGAGCTGTTTTCTCAATCTTGGTCAGAAAAAAAAGAATATTTCTGGGAATGTCCCACTTCTAGAACGCTCTCTGAAGAAAATGTCCTTTGGTTTTTACTCATTTTTCCCATCCATCACTGCAATTCTCAAGGATATATCTTCACCAGGACTTTGAAGAAGTTCAGTATCAGCTCTGGATTTGTATGTCAGCTGATGTTTGAAGCTGATTCAATTTATTTCTGATTATACACCAGTTTATTTGAAACCAGAGTATAACTGTTCCCTCCGTTCCCTTTTTGAATCCATGAAGCTCCGCAGAAGTTAACAATGGTTTATATTCCCATTGGTAAAAATTCTTTTTTTTTTTTTTCATCATGCCTTCTAGCTCCTGGATTAAAGACAAAATCACTCTCTTTCACATCCTGTTCCTATTTGGAACCATATTTACACTGTTTACAAATTTTACGGTGCCCTTCTTCACTTTGTTTACTGCAACAGCAGGCAGTTATGATTATTGCTATTGGGGAAAGCATTTATTTGCACATTTGCTGGCATGTTACCCTTGTCACTATTGTAGCCAACAAGAGACTTTTAAATGCAACAGAGTTCTAGCTATTGGTAAGCCACCATTCATCACCTATTTTTTTCTATTCTGAAAGATATTCTTCAATGAATGTGAAACTATCCCAGATCAGCTGGTTCCAAAGTAATGGAAGTCTCAAAATTATAAAATCCCTCTCAAAACTTTCTATATCCTTGTTATTTTAAAATGTATAATTTCATAATTCATGACAAGATCATTAGATTCTCATTCATGAATAAACATTAACAGCATCAGTACATATTTGAAATAAACCTGTATGTCTTATAATGAAGCTATTGAGACTAAAGCCTATTCTGAACTTAAGAATTATATTTTATACTATGGCATAATTCTTTTTGTTTACTGTAATAGAACAATTGATTTTATCAGACCTTTTTTATTTCTATCATAGATTTAGTATAGATCAACAATTGTTTCTTAATTTGGACTTATCTTTCATGTTTTAAATTGAAGTTTGAGTTTAAGATGTTTTACACAATTCTGCACCTTTTGTTTCATAGACTTTCAGTCAGTGGCAGGACTCAAAAATTTTTACTACCAGTTCCATGAGCATGGCTTGGTGGGCGTGACATGGCTTGGTGGGCGTGACTTGGTGGAGGTGGCTGGGGAAGGATACTGTAAAATCTCCATTCCCACCCTACTCCAGGGGAAGGATAATGTAAAATCTCCATTCCTTCCCCATTCTTGGGAAAAGGTTATTGCAAAATCCCATTTCCTCTCCATCCCACTAACCTGCTTTCCAGCTCCCTTCTCCTGTGGAGGGAAACAAAAGAAGACCTAGCTGATCAGCTGGGACTCAGGGGGCAGAGAATAGATGGAGGCAGGATGGGGCCAGTCAGAGGTAGTATTTGCCAGTTCCCTGAACTACTCAAAATTTCCACTACCAGTTCTCCAGAACTGGTCAGAACCTGCTGAATACCACCTCTGCTTTCAGTGCAAAAGGTATATATTAACCAGATCATTAACGTTGAAATTTGTATTGCAAAATACTTTCTTTTTCTACAATATTTCATTTATTTATTTTATATTTATTTATTAAATTTCTATGCTGCCATCTCTCTACCAGGTGACTCTGGATGGCTATAGATTAGAATAGACATTAGCCAAGGCAGAGTGGCTGTGCCTTCACATGGTTATAACTGGATATTAGTCTTGAACTGTTTTAGCAATCAATGTTTATTATAATTATAAGAAAATAAATGCAATGCCTACTTAAATAATATTTTTGGTCAAACTGCATCCTAAATAAATGTGAACCTTGATTACCGCTGTAAGAACATATAGTTATGTTTAGACGCTGATGAAAAATGTCAAGGATGTATATTTAGGAATATAAATATTCCTATTAGTCAATTATGTCAAGCCATAATTACCAAGTTTGTGATGATATTAACAATTTGACAAATTTCTAACAATGGGAAACTACTGCAAAAACTAGGTATTCTTGCGTTCCTTTATCCCCTCCACTTAAGGCCCTTTATTTCTTCTTTTAGCCCTTTTTAATGAGTTGTGAGCATGCAGTTACTTAGTATTCCCTGTGCTGTCATATTACATACATTCATATTGGTCTGTCCATTCAATATTGTTCATTTCCCAATTGTCAGTGAATTATACCGATAAATAAGAGAATAAGGGTGCACTGTTTTAATCTAACTTGATCTGTCTCACATTCGAGTACGGAAATAGTGAAATTAATGATTCCTGGTTTTCTTTTTGCAGAGTTTTTATCTATGTCAATGAATTTATGTTAGAATTGTCTCGCAGACCAATAATTCTGCTTCCCTTTGTCTTCTTTGCAGTCCTGGTACCTGGGATAAAACTCACGGCTTCCCACCATCCAGCAGACAGACCACCTGTCCCCCATCCCAACTCTGTAACATGGAAGCAGCCACAAAACAGTGTTGTTACTTCACGTCCATGGAAGGGGAGCAGACAGAGATTGACAGCAAACAACTGCTCTTACTCAGAGACGGCAAACGCTATGATTGAGCATCAAAGGCCGTAATATTGTGGTGGGGGGAGGGAGTTTGAGGCTTGGGGTTTTGGTTTGGTTTGAGTTTTTTTTAAAAGAACACCTTAGTGACCGACGTAATTTCTCATATGGTGCTGGAAATGTTTGAGCTTCATATTTTTGAAGTGTTTCAAGTGGTAGTATAAGAATTAGGGACATTGGGTAGCAGAGCGAGCCTGCTGACTACTTACTGACTTGCTATTGTAACCCTTTCCATATAGCACCTAACTGTTTTACAGTATTTTTTACTGATTAATTTCCCATCCAAGTGTGAGACTTACTGAGAGATCCGAAGAGCTACACATAAATAACTTTATAGTATAGCTATATATATAGCATATAGCTGAGTTCTTCAGTATGGAGCTTACAAGACAGTCGTGGGCATGATTTTTTCTGTAACATATCAGGATTTTTTTTTAAATTTTGCAATCAGCAATTCAATATATGACACGAATCATAAGATGGTTATTGACAGGTTGGTTTTCCACACAAGTGGCAAAGAAATATAAACCATCAACCTACTACAGGTCAAACAAAAAAGAAAAAAAAATTAAATGCTGCACTTAACATGAAACATTTTTGACAATTTTCAACAATGACATAAAATTCATATGGAAATGGGGAAGTTGGTCTGTTTTGATAGAAACTGACAGGAATCAATCAAAACAATCGAATTTTGAATTGAGAAAAGTGCAATTTCATTGGATAGCTAAATATCTTTGTAAGATAGAGATTGTTGAAAATTCTATTTTTGTTTTCCAAGTCCTTCCACCCCAGGACTCTAAATTATTGGGGTAAAAAACAGCCTTGCAAGAAAAAAAAGGGGGGGAGCTATTTTTGCTTTTTATGTTTTTTATTGTTAAACTTGTATCCCTTTAAAACTGAAGGAAATTTAAAACGTTCACACACAAAATTTAATGGTGCTTTTACCACAATATGTTATCTTCATTAAATGCTAATTATTTTCTGTTATCAAAGCACATAATTAAAATTAAATCATAATATCTATTCATTATATAAGCTAAAGTCAATTATAATAGAGTATGACAATTCTGACAAATCATACATGTTTCCGGCAATATAGGGTATATCACTTCTTAAAATATCGCGGCCACAATTTAATGCAGAGGAAGACATGCTTAAAAGGTACTTTAAGCATTTTGTAGCCTGCATTGGATTGCAGTCCTTAATATAATAAGAGAGACAGCTGTCCAGAAACTAAAATGCCTCTTGTGTCCCTGAACTGGCTGTTTCTTTTCTTTTCTTTTCTTTCTGGACTGCAAAGGCATCAGTAGAAAAGCAAAATATGGATTTATATTTTATGCCAGTTCAAAGTGAGGGCACTTGCTTAAAAAAAAAAAAGTTTGGACCCCAAATGTCCTGTATCTTATGTAAAAAAAAATGAAAAAAAAAAACAGCAAAAAAACAGCAAAAAAAATGCAAGTGATTTTTTTTTTCTCTCAGACAGCGGAGCACCCCTTTGCTTTCCATGCAACTTTAAGAAGGTTTCCTATATTATACATATATATACGTTCTGGTTGGCAAATCTAGCTAATCAGAGAAAGTCTCTGCATGTTCTAGTGTTAGTAACTAATTTTTATATAGTTAATGTAGGGTAAAGTAGAGTGCATTAAGACACAATATTGTAATCCCTAATCCAGGCACTTGCCTTTAAACTATGTTTGTTCGGCCCTTCAGAAGGGTTTCTACTACTGTCCTATACAATCAAGTAAACTGAATTTCTTGGGAAGACACTTTGCTCCTCATCTTTTCCCTAAAACTATTTTTTTGTTTTGTTTTGTTTTCTTGATTTGCACGAAACAAAATAATAATAATAATAATTCCATATCAATGTGCCTTGCCCTGGATAGCGATTATTTGTGGAATTGTTGCACATGTTCCTCTATTGAAAGGGTTATTTTTTTTCCCCTAGTCAAGCATTTGGAGACACTTTTTTGTAAATGTGACTTTTATGTCCACCATTGTCAGTTTCAGCATCTTAGAATACAGTAGAATGTTAGTTGTTTCACAGATAGGGGTAGTGTTTTCTTGTCCTGTACGGTCAGTGGCAGTGCTATTCTGATATCTGTAGATGCTAGAGTATATCAGTATTTTTGATGTGGCTGCATTTTACATTTTCCTTGGAGTCTTCCTTTTGTTCGTTTTTATTTTTATTATTTTTTTTCCCAGATATATGAAAATATGCAATACCTGCTTATATCGTGTAGAAGAAAAGCTTAGCAATTCTTAATTTTTCTTTCGAGTCTTTTTTTTTAATTTGACCAAAGTCGGTGCTGCACTTGAAGCAGCGTGTTTTAGGTGTTTGTCTTTGTACTTTTTTGTGTGTGATTTTTGAATGCACACGCAGGAAGGGCTCTTCTTAGAGAAGCAGTCAAACTGTGAAGCACTAAGCTGGACCCTGCTTCAAGCAGTTTTCGTTTTTCAATTCTTCCTTTCACAAGCAAGCCTTAAAAAAAAAAAAAACCTACTGTTTTCTTCAAATCCCACACTCATTTTTATTAGCAGATTGCAATCAAATCACATTCAATAAAAAGTATGAAATGCCCATTTTTATATGCACGTTTTTAAACTTCCAAGTTCTGAAAAATTGTTTACTGGTTATTCTCTATTTAAGGAAAAAAAATGTTTTGGATTTTCATATATGTCAAATAAGTGGTTGAGTAGTCATTTGCTCTGTTGTATTGTGTGATTGTTAGTATTATTATGGTATCACATCCACTAGCCAGCATCTTTTGCCTTCCCTATAGCACTTAGCAGGGCATTACCTTATTAAGACATATGTGCACTAAAAATAAAAAAAATTAGCAGCTTTCAGTGCTTCACAGTGAAGGGGGGAAAAAAAGCCTAGACAAACATTTTGTCAGAACCTTGCTCTAAGCCAAGGTATTACCAGTAAATTGGTTGTATATACAACAAAATTGCACCCTTTTTTAAAAAGAAAAAAAAAGAAACAAAGCAAACTAAGCAATAGTTTGGGCAGTTAGTTGTTTTTAGTAAGCATGTGATAGTCATGGCCAGAAACAGAGAGAATCAAAGCTGCCCACTCAGAAGCTATGTAATATGTATGTTGTATAGTTTTATTGATTACACTGATTTATTCTACCCTATTTTATAATGCAGGACTTTTGTAATGTTGTTTAAATAAGGAAAATTTCTGTCAAATTAGCTTAGTGAAATTCTGATTGTTCGTTATAAAGGCAGCATTCATAGAATTGCTTTTTTTTTTCCCTTTGGGAACTGGATTTAAGTTAAAAACTTTCCTGTTTCCTTTTTTGTATGTATTTAAATACAGTTTTTTCCTTCTCTCAATAGTATAGCATATTCCTATGCTTGAGAAGTATAGGCTACTGAAAAACCATTGTAAATGGACATTACAGATATGCTGTATTTTTGAAGGTGTTTTATCATGTTAAGTTTGAAGGTGGTAAAGTTAGGGAATTCTGATTGGAATCACACGAAACAAATTGTTTTTAAAGGCTTTTAACATTAGGTATGCGATCAAGGGTGTTTACCAACAGAAGCTGTAACGTATTAAACACACTAAATTAACATTTGTTTCATCTTATTGTCATGCAATAATAGCAGTTTGAATCTGTTCAGGTGTGGAGAACAGAGTTTTATTCCTCAAAGCAGAGTGGAAAATGTAGATCTGAAGGGAGACAACTGCATGGGGTGTGCAGCCCTTAATAGAAAAGTAATCCTGGATCACACACTGCAGAATCAGATTAACATACCCATTGCCCAATTCAAAACTGCTTTTTATTCTTTGCACAAACAGCTTTTCTGCCCAAGTCATTCTTTCAAAATGACCAGATGTCCAACACCAACCCCTTTTACTTCCTTATCCCAAATAGAAACAGCAGTTCTTTCATTGAATTGACTTGACTATCAGAAGTTTTATTCTCTTGATCCCTTTCCAAACTAGGGCTTAGCTTATTGTCATCCTGCACACCCCAGAGATATTGCATTATTTATTCATTGTGATATATATATATATATATAGATGCAATCTTTCCCAACCTGATGTTCTCCAAGAGTGCAGGACTATGGTTCCTGTTATCCCAGGATAGCATAGTCAGTGACCATGTTTGCTCATGAAGATAAGATGTAGAGACAAAAGTGGCTGGAAAATCTTGATTTGAGAAGAGCACTAGCCATGGGCATACCTTTTCTGTAAGAGGATCCCCAGCCTCCTCTTTCAAGTTGACAAGTAAAGAATAGAACTGTTTTTTTCATCTCTGCAGAATTCAGTCAGCCCAGAGGAATATGCAAAAATCTCTCTACCTACTTTTTTTCAATGTCTTCTCTTTGTTCCATATAGTTTGCAGTTTTGTAGTAACAGTATTAAATTTACTGTGCACATACACATGAGAGAAAAGGTGAAAAACAAACACCATCCAAATACATGGCATAAGACTGATCCTTTTTTCCCTTGTGATTTTTAAAAAAAAACAAATGTCAATATTATTCTTTGCATTGTGTCTCTGGAAATATCTTTTTATGGTTTTACTTTGGTAGAAGGCCTCCATAGAACAAACATTGCAAACCACAATGGGGATGAAAATGTAAGGAGAGCTTCAATGGCACTAAAAGAAACTCATCTTTCATACAACCTATTGGGGAGAATCTCATGAAATAAACTCTGCCTACCAGGCAAGGTTTCCATTAAATTCAAGCATACAAAGCCAATTTTGTCTTGAAGTCAATGCATGTATTACTGTTGGACAGTAAAACCCGGCTATGCCATCATCAAGTCCAAGGCTGTGCAATAGTCTAATTAGTATTGAGTACCATTTCCCTTTTATTTTTTCCAATTAAAAAAAAACAGTGGGATGAAAATTGCTTTGATATATAGCAGGTAACATTGAAGCTATTCCATAGCACTTAACTGTAGTGAATACTGTGTCACCAATTCTGAAATCAATTTAAAGTTTAATGCAAATCCATTACATGGTGCTATTACAGACTGGCAAAATGATTTACAAAAATGTGACAACTTGGGCTCAATTCACTCTGCTTTCCAACAATGTAAATGCATAGCAGTGTTTATCTGCATGAGAACTATGCACTAATATAAATCTGAAAAAAAAAAAGAAATATATCAACCTTGGTATCTACTTTCCGTTTACTTCAATCCTTGCCTTTTTGGTCATTATTATAAATGCCAGCTTTAGGACAGAAAGAAATATAAGAAAACCAGCATAATACCTGATATATTAAAAATGTAGTGCCTGTGAAATCTGTATTATATTGCTCTTCTGAAGTAAGATTTTTCTACACCAGTAGCCTTCGCTGTCTGTCAGAACCTTCTGATATAGGTGATGTAAAATAACCAAACAATATTAATGCATGCTATTCCATAATGCTTAGTGAGCTGTATGAATATTACTCAAAGTTATGTTAGTCTTTTTTTTCCCCTCTGATTTGGTTCTTGTCAGATAAGTTAAAAATATTTCACTGAGAACACAATTCTGTTTTTTCTTGATTTTGGGTGTTTTCAGCATTTTGGAAATACACATTTAACTTAAAATTCAATTCAGTATTATTTGTGGGGGGCATTCTTCACTCTTGAGGGCAGGTATGGGGTTTGAAATCCATGCCTGGTGGTATCTTTTCTTTGCTTAAGCAGCCTAAGAACTCTAAACGCTTATCTCAGAAGAAAAAAAAATCAGACATAAGACTTCAGTGGAAGCGACAATTCTCAAACTTGGAACTGACATTGAAAGTGTTTTCCTAATGGACAGTGTTTAAACCAGGTACCCCTG